AGGAAATTAATGGATAAAATGAAGTACTACATAGTTTGCCACAGGTTTTCTGCTCTTTAGGGACAAGAGTCATGGTTATCTCTTTCCATGGCTAGGCTTCTGTTTTCTCTAGCTCTCCAAGTGTTGAAGCAGAAGAAGGAGGAGGTTAGAGCCCTAAGAAGCAAAGACAGTTGAATGTCACTGGGATGGCAAAAGTCACCCAGGATAATAGCAGGAATGGGGTGGAGAGGCATGTTATGACCTGATGGGGAAATCCTCAGGGAAAGCTGGGAAATAGGTAATTTTCAGAGGAAGGGTGGGTACACCTTTAAAAGAGAAGGAGTTTTTGAAGAAAAGTTATGGAATAGCAGTCTGGATGCATTGGTGGGAACCAGTTTTTGTCCTAGACCCTGAGGTTCCAAGGGCATGGGAGAATGATTCATCTCCGCTGAAGGGGATGGGAAGGAATGTTGTTGCCAGGGGGACCCAGTGACTAAGAAAAAAAAAGATGCCAAAGGAAGGTACTGGATTTCCCCCAACATCTTTTTTTTGTTAGTCAAAAGAGATTTTCTCATACAATGAAATATTGTTTGGCGATCCCACTGGGTATACGACCAAAGGCCAAGCAGCATTTTGAATGAGGATAAGGGAACCTGGATTGCATGACACAAATATGGTCAAAGAAAATGTTCAGGAATTGCTTTTCCTTTGGAAGTGTGCTAGACTCAAGAACACACACTTCAAAGCAGGGATGAAAAGGTGAGGCACTTAGGGGCCAGCCAGGTAGGGTAAGTGGGTGATGATGCCTAGATGGAGAGCATGAACAACAAGAGCTCTCTGGCTTCTCTAAGGGGGCTGACCTTGACAATGCCCAACTGTCTTCAGGTGAGCACAAATGGTGCTGCGTAACAGAAATTCCTTATTACTGATGAAAGCTTTCCAATTTTAAAATGCTAATTCAGATATTAAGTAAAATGCGTCGTAGGCCAAACCAAACATATCTGTGGCCAGATCTGGCCCATAGGCTGCCGTGTGTGGTCTCCGCTTTGGAGCCAGAGAGACCTTGGCAGGAAGCTGGCTCGGCTTCGAGCCATTAAACCTCTCTGACCCTCGGTTTTCTCCCTCACAAAGCGATGGGTGGAATAATACCTAACTTTTACGTTTTTTGGGGGAAGGATTAGACATATTCTTCACGTCATTAAATGAATATCAGGTAGGTTTCCAGTGTCTGCTCCCTGCTCTGTAAATGGCTTTCCTATTGATCAGAATCATGCGTTTTTTCAACATTTCCTCCCCCAATCTAATAAACATATATGTCAACTTGGAAGTGTAAAATGTTTCTGTGTCTACAGCTATACTTTAGGTTAAGGTGTGATAGTCAGTATAGTGCCTTTAGATAACTTCCCCAATCGCCTTGCTTTAGGACCTTCTCTTTAGACCCACTGATCATATAGATGTCTGAAAGTCAAAGGCAATAATAAAACATATTATACAAGAGGAGAAGCTATAGAGGAACCGTTAAACTATATATCAAAAATATATCAATAACTCTTTCTTTCCATGCTTTGTTAGAAACAGTGCAAAGTGAATTAAACAGACACAATTCCTTTCCTCTTGGAAGACCTAGAACATACTCCAATGACAGCAGAGATTTTTTATTCATATGAAGAGGGCTATAGCAAATGAATAAATGAAGCAGAAAAAAAAAAGAGGAAGGAATGCCTGCATTTATTGGTAAAAGAAGTATCAGATGCATGTCCCATCAGGGGAAAATCATTTTGCCTTTTTCTGTTGATCAGAGAGCTCATGAAGAGATGAGATTGTCAAACTGAATAATCTAAAGAGATTCCTTGGTGACTTAACATGAAGCGAATGTCTAGATATGAGAGAGGTGAGTATTTCAAAATAGAGTGAAGAGTTGAACAGAGGAGAAGGAAGAAATGATTGTCCTAAATGGACTTGAATATGCCTGGAAGGATAGGAGTGTGGTAGACAAGATGTGTGGGACTAGGCAGTTCTGAGAAGTAAAATGGTGTGAGGCAATGCCCTTTTGCTGAACTCTCTAGACTTGGCCTTCCTCATGGAGGGTATCCCAAAGGTCTAGGAAAAGTCTTCCCTCTGGTATCTGAGCACTTGTTTATCTTGAATTTTTCATGGTGTTTTCAGTTAGTTTGAGTCAACCTGCTCCTCTGTTCTTTTCTATAATCTTCCTGAGCCTGTTTAGGGTTATCTGACAACTAAACTAGCCCTGGGGACGGGTGCTCAGTAAAAAAGAGACCATATACAATTGCTTACTTTCTAGCAGTATTTAAGGAGCTTTCTCTTGGGCTGACCTGGTGAGCCACTGCCATCTTCAAGTGCCGATTTGGGGTAAGTTGGCCAGACTCTCTCCCAGTTTGGACCATATTCTCCTTGACCTTGCCCACTCCTGTAGCGGTCTGGACTTTCTTGTCAAAATGATATTTTGTTTTTGTTATGCTAAACTTGGTCCAGGGACTTTTTTGCTCTTACATTGTGCTCCACGATCAACTGGGAATTTTAAAAAAGGGGTTAGGAAGAAAGCTTAACTTCTTACAAAGTCTTTGAATCTGTCAACTCAGCAGGAAGAAATGGATAAGCTGATCTGAAATGGGATAACCAGCTAAACACATACACGTATATATATCTATATTTGTATCAAAAAAGTTTCAAGATGACAATATATTTCTTGCCTTTAGTTGTCCTTAAACTAAGAAGAGAGTTTGGTACTGGTATTTGCTGTTTGGATTCATCCTGGCTCCTGACCTAATTTCCAGCTGTGACTTTTCAGGCAAATTACTCAACCACTCTTCTCTCTCTCTATATATATATTTAGTGTGTGTTTGTATGGGGTGGGCTTACATAGCATCTTAGATTGACTATGGAGATTAAATAAATGCATGTAAAGCACTTAAGTAGTAAAGGAATAAATGTTTGATTATGACTATGATAATGAATATTATTATAATGCTTATGATTGAGTTAGCCTTGGTCTGAGGTCCTCAGGTATTGAGCTATGGGCTTATGGACAACTATCCTTCAAATTTCAGAGCACGCTGGGGATGTTAGCCATGGGCAGAGTTTCTGCTTTGCCATATTCCATGAAAGCCTAGAGGCTAAGGAGGCCCCAAGAGTCCAAGTGATGACTGATAGTACAGAGATGTTTATGGTAGTCTCAGCCTACGAATTCCAAGTTCTACTAATTCCGCAGGTGATCTTTTCAAAGAGAACTCATATTGAAAATTTCCTGCATCTGCTCACATAGTCTTTTCAGCAAAACCCTGTATATTTTAGGAGATAATACTTTTTTGAAGAATAATTATTCATAAGTAAAGCGAGTAAGTTTTTTTCCTCTTCCTGATTACAAATGGTATCCAAGTGGCTTTTGAATTGCTAGATAATATTTTATAGACTGCAAAGTTAGAGAATTTAGCAAGTAGCCACACATTTCCATTGGGTATTTCCAAACACATGTGAGAAAATCGGAAAGTTGGGTGCCCGTATATGGATTTCCATTGAAATTTATGGCAGTTCCTGGGCATAATCACATCAACACATATCCATAGATAGTTTACCATGTTAACTAACTGTGGTTTTGGATTTAATTGCCAACTTTTACTCTAATAGTAATTCCAGACAGGAATAACAGAGTGAAGGGACCTGCCCAGGTTGTTACCACTGCATATAAAACAAGTAAGATCCTTAGGGTTTAATTAGAGGACTCATAATTATACCCGAAGCATGCTAGTGTTAAAATATGAACACTGGACATCTGGAAGATGAGTCTGGATTTGGTCACTTGCCTTTAGGAATCTAAATCCATGAAACTGTGAGCGTCCAAAGAAGCAGTGATGCTCACACCTGGGGCTTGTGCACAGGCAGAAACGACAAAGGTGAATGTGAGTTGGTCTGCAAAGCATAATGATTCAGAAAAGATAAATAGAAAATTATTCAAAATCACACGGAATCCAAAATGATGACTGGCTTCTTCAGCCCTACCATGAACAGAAGTGATTTAAAAGGAAGAGTAGGCACCTGAAAAATATGTTCTTCCTTCATAAAACCTTATGGAACACATGGCCTCTGGGACTCACGTCACACAGGATTCCTGCTGGTATCAGTCTTTTAGGAAAAGAATGACTGAAAGACCAACCTCTGGTTACACAGGCTCAGTGGAAAGGGTCTGAGAAGGAGGATGTATGGCGAAAGGCATAGAATAGCTTTGATAGAGAGTATCGTGTATCATTTTCTCAGCTCTCTTCTCTCCCACCAGTGCCAAAGAGTTACGTGTCTGTTTGTACATATACATATATATGCATACACATCAAACACATGTTTATGCGTGCATATATGTGCATATATATGTATATATATACATATGTATTCCATTCTCTCAAGTGCGTTAGAAATGTTAAAAAGAGAGAGTTAAGGCACTTTTTTTCCAAATTTTTTCTTCCAAAGTTATGAAAAGAAGGGTTTTTTGTTTGTTCCTGATAAGATTTTAGGAATACCGTTGAGAAAACTGCTCCTATATTTTATAGCAGATTCCATCTAAAATTAGTTTTGGTGTGTGTGTGGTTTAGGAATAAAATTTCAGGCTTCTTGGCATAGTTTCCATTCTGTCTCTTTCTCCATAAAAAGATAATTTCATTGTCTCCAAGTTACAAGGAATCCACTCTCCATGGTACAGCAAAATTTAAATTATACAACTGGGATTACTCTAGAGTAAAACTCCTTAAAAACAGAGAGCACAGCTTAAGTGTATGGTCTAGAGGCAAGAGTAAATGGAGTGGAATGTAGCAAAAGGTTGGGTTAGAAGGCTTAATACTTAGGATCTGGCAGGCTGTTGCAGGTACCTACTCCTTGGGAGACACCGATGGACAAGGCAGGCGTGTGTCGAGTGAAGCAATTCATGAATACTCAGCCATGAAATGAAAAATCCAAATGAAACAAGGACCACGGTAACTATCTTGGTCTATTAATATTTAAATATTAATACCTACTTTTCTTTGCGAGACGTTACTGAATATTTATTGACGAGAAAAAAAATGAGAGTTTGGGAAGAAGAACATGTTTGAGAACTGCATTTAAACAGAGTTTCAATGACATGTGGTCTTCTTAACTCAAATAGTCAACCAATTAAAATAAGTTCCCATCCAAACGTGTCTTCAAATTTAGGGTCCGCTGGAAAAAATTTCCAAAATGCATTACAACTTTCGATAGGGGTGACACATGGTCCTGTTTTCCCAAAACTTGGATTTAATATTTGAATGCAATGGTATTTGACTGTGTTAGGATAGAATATTTGAACTTAAAAAGAAAACTCCTGAATTTGTTTATGCATAAGCCTATTAAAAATGTTTCTAGGGGCTCTTGTTTTGTTTATTCTTTAGAATATAACCTATCTTTGAAGTGGTATAGGCGTTTTTAAAAAGTCATTCCTAAGCTAAGTAATTAGACTGGAAACAAAAGTTATTCTTAGAGTACATTCCACATATAAAGCTATGCACATGATGCTTTGATTCAAATAATACTCTTATAAAACTTTGTTATTGTTTGAGACCCATATTCAGAGTGGCAACTTTTGTTTTTGATGATTATTCCATCCTGAAACAATTTCCCCCCTGCCCAATTAAACCAGAAATTAGAAGCACATTTATATCTGATGAGACTTAAACTTCGCAACTGCCTGCTTCAGAAGCGAGGACCTTTAGTGGTTATGTTCATTTTGTCTCTGCACAGAGGGCTCAGAAGAAAACAGAATCAATTCCCCTAACTTTTTCTGGAAGAGGAAGGTTGCTTTTGTTGCTTTGATCTTAGCATGTTGTGCATTTTTTATTGGCTGTTGAATATAAAAAGCCATAGCCTCATCTGGTTTTTCTGCTATATTCTCATATTGTAAATCACATAATGCCTTCCAATCTAAACTTAAATGCCTAGGTCCAAAATATTATTTCAAAATGGATTTATCATTGCAGTTGATAGAAAGATTTCCAGGGTGTAAGAAAACTCTCCAAGGTTCGAGTAATATGTCACAGACTGCTAAAAATATATCCATGCACTTTAGACAACAAATTCCAGGATGTAGACATATACTCATGCTATTTTAGATCCCTTTTTCTATCATTGCAAGAGGCTGTTGAAGCTAATGTAGCAGCTGGCTAGGTTATTGCTTCTATAATATAATCCATAATGCAAAAGCAGCTATTTTCCAAACATTCTAGAGCAACTCAACTTGTTTACATGTCTCTGTAAGGTAATTTTCCTATAACTTTGTGCCAATTGGTGTCATACTATTTGGTAAAAATCTTCATTAAATCAAGACAACTACACTTGGTTAAATTCTCTCTCATACAGAGAACTGCAGGAAAATTACAGTTAGCTGATTTGAGGCCATCATCATGAAGTAACTACAGGGTTTTAGAAGATTAATGCAAACTACAAAAATGGAGTTGTATAATTAAACATCAAATAGTCCAAGTCATAAAAGTCATAGATTAATTGTCTCTCAGTTCGAGTCAGATCCTTTAAATATTGTCTCACGACCTGAGCATTGGTTCTTTCATCAGAAGAGTGCCTATCCTTAAAGTTTGGAAATTTCAGCTCTTTTGGAGCACCAATCAGCTGCAAAAAGTAATTGGCATCTTCTTCCAAAGTTTCGAATTTCCCTACAAAATCATAGTTGATTAAACACGGATAGCAGAGTTTGCTGACCTTTTCCCAGTGAATGTCCATTCCTACTGGACGGTGGGAATCCAGCAAATAGTGGACGAACTCTTTGAATTTGACCCCAGATCCATTATTTAATGCTTCTTCACAGGCATTTGGCCGATATTTCTTTATAATTGCCTTCCCAAATACCGGATGGTAATAGCTATTGGGGTGTTCAAATTTGTCCCTAAATGCTGACACTAATCTTTCCATGGGATCACGAACAAAAACAGCTTTGGTGTAGGTATTCAAACGAGTATATATCCCTTTTAAGTCAAAGCTATCTAGTTTTTTCAAATGCTTCCCGTAGTGAACAGCATCATGGGAGATGTTGTACGCAGAGGAAGCCAACCCACTTAGCACCATCAGAATTCTCTTCCAGTTGGAGCAGCCAGCCTTGGGTACTTCACAATATAAGATTTTGTGTTTATCTTCCACATAGATCCTGGATACCATATGAAAAAGATGTGATTGAGGACGACTCACCCCGCCATATTTTTTGCAAGACTCCTGAAGGAAAGACCTGCGTTTCTCTTGGGCCACATCCGTTTCCTTCCATTTGTTGTCTTTGATTAAACTTTTATTTAAAGGGTGTATGTCCAATGGCCACTTCATTTCACTGAACTTCTTGAAAACAGTCCTAGTTCCTTGATGTTTTGCAATCAGCTTAATTGTTGGTGGCCCTGTGGTCTTCCCCAAAACTCGATCCTCTCCTTGTGAGTGGCTGGTCTTTGTGAAGACCCTCATTGGCCTCTCAGAGTCGAGCAGAAGATTTTCCTTTTTTCCCTTGGGATCCTCAGTGATGTGGAACTTGAGGTTCTGTTAAAATAGAGAAGGAGAAATGTTGAAAGCGCATTCACAAACGTGAGTATGCAAGGATCTGAACATATTTGTTTTACAATACTATTGAGGAGAGCACATTTCATATAAGCTGCCGGAACAATTTAGCAAACCATGCTGAATACACATTTTGTAGTAAGTTTCTTCAGAGAAAATCTAACAATGAAAAATGGTATCCAAGCATCATTTTGAGCCAAAGTTCCACATTTTATATTACACATATTTGGTTACTTACATGTTACCATTTATTTAGTGTTAATGTGCTGCATTATATTAATAGATTTTCTCAAGCTAAATTATCTTGAGTATTATTTGGCTAAACCTACTAGTATTGATTTGAGTATGATCATAGTAAGTTGGTTATTGTTTTCTGTACTATCTTTGTTAACTATGGTTATCAATTATACAACCTTACAAGGTACACACACACACACACACACACACACACACACACACTGGCCACAAGATGGAAAGGAGGGTGTCCTGAATTTTCATTTTAGCTTTGTCTGTAACACATTAGAATGTACTTCATCATCCTGTAGGTCAATGATTCTTGAGCTATTCAGGAATGTGTTACCTTCAAGCATTAATTAATTAGTGCATCTGAATGCAGATACAAAATGTAGCTGCTTTTGGGGTATTCTGTGATGCAAGGAAGAGTTTAAAGTCACAAATTATAACTTAAAATTGCAGCAAGGCAAATTATAAAATCCTCATGACCATTTCAGTTTTTCAAGCACTTGCAAAAGGAGACATTTTTTCCCTTGGAAAATGTTTTATTTCAGAATATTCATTTATCGTAATAATTTAGTAATTATAACCATACAATTTCATTCGTGTATGAAAACTTTGTCTTTTTCAAAAGTCTAATTGATGTCCTGCTACATAAAATTGTACGAAAAGTAGAACAAGAATTTAGTTCTCATGTCAGTGGAATGAATCAGCCTACCAACCATCTACTGTTCATCTGACTACGTCTTCCTACAGCTCTTGCAATGACTGCAGAAGGGAATACATGGAAGACAGGACTTACAAGATGGAATCCTCTCCTAGAGATAAAATTGTAAGGACTTTGGCTTTTACTGTGGGTAAACTAGGGGGACTTTGAAGGGCTTTCAGCAGGGAAGTAACATGATCTCACTTACACTTGAAAAGGATGGTTGAGGAGAAGACTGGCCTGGAAATATACATACAGAATCGTCAGCATGTTATTGGAAAAACCAATCAACAAATGGTGTGCTGTGGGAATAATAAATGGGGCCACCAGGCTAGTGTTGGAAGAAGTGGTGGGAGAAGTTCCCTAGAGGAGGATATCTATCTATCTATCTATCTATCTGACATCCATCCATCCATCCATCCATCCACTGTATCCCCAGTGTCTAGAATGGCCTGGAGCCTATAGTAATTGCTCTCACATATTTATTGAGTGAACAAATGAATAAATGGAATGAAATCTTCCAAGTTGATTAGTAATATTCTAGCAAATTGAGCAAAAGAGCAGAGAAATAGTTTGCACTGTGGATGGAAGCCACCTCAAAGCATCATGGTCCTTCTACTAGCTAGGCTTTAAGTGGTGTGGGGGTGGGAATTGCTTCTTTCTAGTGCAAGAAGATTGTGTGAGTAACCCCTGATCACCATACACCAACTTGGGTAGCCCCATAAAACAGCTGCCCAAATCTTCCATAGCATTGAGCCAACTGTTTGGTGTTTCAAGTCTAAAACCATTTGTCTTCTGTCATACTGGAGACTGCCAGGATGACTTCAAAGCCCTGAATCCATCTTTACTCTGATCAATTACCTGTAGTCCATTAAATTTTCACAGATGATCTGAAATTTGACTTGAGCTTTGGAAGATCATGGGGTTATTGGTTGACTGCATGGGAAGTACTTAGTACAGGCCTGAAATAAAATTGCCAATATATTTTTGCAGCTACTTTTTCTACTATTACAACTGTAAATAATAATTGCTATTATTAATATTTTATAGTGTAGTAACAATGTTTTATCCCATTGACCTAGTGAATTTCAAGGTTCCCCAGTTGTCCATTATTATCCAGACTATAATTTGTGTGTCTCTAGATGTACCTTAATTAGTTCTCTCCCTGCCCCATTGACAAGAACAAAAACAAAATCAGCTTTCCACTGTGCCCTCTGGACCTTCTGTTTGTGGTCATCAAATTCCCCTTTAAACTCTGGAGACTTCTGGAATGTTTGTTTCCCAGGACTTTCTCTACATGGAACCTGGCTGGCCCCCAAGATTCTGCTGCCCTTGCACTTTCTCAAGTAGACAAAACTTTATTTCCTTGAACCACTTGTCCCTCCAGCCAGAAGTCAGGGCACTATTTCCCTGCAATTCACTGCTGCTTCCAGGACATGTCCCTTGGCAAAAGCTTCTGCTTCTGTCAAGCACACGTGTCCTACTGAGCCTCCCTTCTCCCTCCTCATGCTGTCGTCTGCCTGTACCCTTGTCCTTTGTTTCATGCACTGAAGACTTTAGCTTCTAGCTCAGACTTTGCTTCTCATACCCCTTCTTGTCATTGTGTGTGGTGACTCTGACACCCAATAAACTCTCAGTTCCTTGACCACCTCGCCTTTAATAGAGGTGTTATTCATTTCTCATAGACCGTGTCATCACCAGTGCCTGTGCCACCTCCATCATCTCTCTGACCACCATCCTTTAACCTTCCAGCTCATTGCAACTTCCATTTTTTCAGTTCTTTGACCACTTCTCACCATGTTATTCAAGCTCTTAGTAGCCAGAATGCCTGGTTCTTCCATTTGCTCTTAGAAAGTCACTTCTGCAGGGAGGTTTTCCTGTCCGCCTTGTATAAATTATGTTCTCTTCTGAGAATCTCTCCCATGTAAGGTTCCCAAATAAGAACTCTGCTTACTTTCCTCATTGCATTTATTGCAATGCGGAGTGATTTTATTTACTTACTTCTGTGTTGTCTCCCCCCCACCCCCCGCCCCACTCCCATGTCTTGCACTAGAACATGACCACAGAGGTCTTATTTTTTTTGTTCTCTTTTGGATCTCTGGTATGCAACATGTTGCCTGGCACATAGAAAACAGTCAACCAATAATTGTTGATTAAGTGCAATTTTTAAAGACCACAGGTGGATTGTTTATTTCAAGATACAGCACAAAATGAATCTGTGTATCTATTAACAGGATTTACTTACACAATTGTACTACATTTCACCAGCCTTCATGCCATATTTAATGAAATAAAAAAAATAAATTCACAAAACTGTCTACAATGGTGTTCTTTCCCGTGTCACCTTATGGTTTTTTTTTTAAGCTCCTCCTAAACATTCATAGTGGTTATACCTTGACTGTATCAAGATTATAATTTCTTCTTTTTTAAATAGAAGGGACTAGTGTCAGCTTGTTTGTCATTGCACATAGGAAAAACAGTGTGTGTAAGATGACTCTTGCACATAACCAGGACATCCTTCTCATGCACACAAAATCAGAGTTTTACATGCACAAATAGTCACTTTAAAATACAATCATTTTTACTTGGAATATTTTAGATTTTCTTCAAATACCAAGTGGAAGGAGAAATTCAGCATCTTTTTCATGAAATTAAACATCAGCTAGTACCTCAGACAATATGGTATTCAGAAATTTTATATTTTCATTTATATTGGAGAGCAATGACTGAGGAAAAAGCTTTTCATGGAAATAGAAGTTTCTTCTGCTTTATTTCTTGCAGTAAATGTGCTTTTAACTAAATGATGGGCTTTCAAATAATTGTTTTATAACCTTGTCAAAGAAAAAGTGTTAATCAAAAGGTCAAGGTTAACTTAGATAAATAATTTACCAATTCTTGTCAAGGTGCTGAAAATCTGTATTCAAACAAATCTTTGGCAGAAGAGAACACAAATAATATAGGTACACGTAGAGCTGCTCATGCTAAAGTAGGCAAGGAGGGCTCGGAGCCTTACCTGCCTGCCAAATCAGATTGGTTCAAGGTCACTCAAGGCTGCCTGGGAACCTCTGGAGGCTTGCCAGCAATCTGCTTCCCAGGCCTCCCAGGCCTCATTGTGGACACTTGGGAGCAGAATCTCTGGGAGTGGGGCTCTTGACTCTACCTTAAACAAGCTCCCCAGGCACTCTGCAGGCAGTAATGGCATTTGGGGGACCACTCAAGAGAGTATTGCAAACGAAAGTAAAAAAATACAAGCTCATCTCATACCATCTAGGGGAGAAGGACATCAAATATGGCGGGTGTGAATATTTTAGTAAGTAGAGACAAATACTCTGCGATGGGTAGGGATGTCACAGGAGCCCTCACAACACACCTGATGAGATACCTTACACGTTTATCCACTTGCCTTTGCTGGAAGTCCATGTTCTTCAAGCTACTTTCTAACGACTAGTTCAGCTAGGGAGATAACTACCTGAGGGAAAGTTTCATTGCTCATAAATGAGACTTCAATCTCCTGATAGTGTATTTAGTACTAGTCAGTTTCCTCAGCTATGATTAAATCAAGAGATGGGCTAAGGGTTCATTCGAAGTAGTGACACCCCAGGAGACTTCTTGTTGGATGGTCACTAGACCTTCTTCTAGCATGTCTTAGCCCACCATCACTCACCTTATGAAAACCATTATAGGGTGTGGTGGCCTCCCTCCCTCCCCACCCCATCCCCATTCCATTTTCTTCAATCACAGGAAAGACTTTCCATGACGGAAGGGTTCGGATTACTAAAATCAAGATGAACAGTATTATATTGTATTAAATTATTATTTTTAATTAAGTTTTTGATTTTAATTCCAATATAATTGACATACTGTATTATCTTAATTTCAGGTGTATAATATAGTGATTCAACAGTTCTATACGTTACTCAGTGTTCAACATGGTAAGTATACTCTTAATACCCATCACTTGTTTCACTCATCTCCCCACCTCCCTCCCCTCTGGTAAACATCAGAGTGTTTTCTGTAGCTAAGCATCCATTTTTTGGTTTGTCTTTTTTTTCTTTGTTCATTTTTTTTTGTTTCTTAAATCCCACATATGAATGAAATCATGTGGTATTTGTCTTTCTCTGACTGACTTATTTCACTTAGTTTAATACTCTCTAGGTCCATTCACGTCTTTGCAAATGGCAAGATTTCATTCTTTTTGATGGCTCAGTAATATTCCACCACACACACACACATACACACACACACACACACACACACATTTTCTTTATTCATTCGTCAGTCGATGGGTACTTGGACCACTTTCCTAATTTGGCTATGAGATTGATGGTATTTTAAATTTGCAGGTTATACTAATGAAATTCTACCACCATCATCATAATGCCGATGATAATAACAATATAAAAAGAGTAGACTTTTACATCTTCATTTTCCTTCAGGACACCTCATTCTGCTTGTCCTCAAAGTGAATGTCTATAAAGCCAAACGTCTCCTGTTCCTTCTCAAAGTGGCTCCTCCTGCGCTTTTTTCTATTTCTGAAATGGTTCTATTACATTCTGGCCACCCACTCACAAAATCTGAGAGATGCCTTAACAATCACAAAGTAAATTGGTTAATTTACATCTCATAATGTCTTTAAAAATCTTTTTTATTTATTACCTCTTAACTGGATATTCTTTAGTATCCTACTAATTGGTTTCTCTGAAGATTATTGCCAAAATAGTCTTCCTAAAACATTTTAACTTTTCATCCCTTTAAAATCTGGAACTGGCTCAACTATATATAAACCAAAGACCGGATTCCTTAGCTGGCATCGGTACTGTGTCACCACTGGGCTTGTCACTTTGTGCTCTGCTCCCATCTCGACACATGCTGTCTTCTACTTGCTTCCATCAGGCTCTCAACACCCTTCACTCATGTTCTTCCCCTTGCTAGAACTTTCCAAATCTCTTAGATTTTATAGAAATCCTGTTGATAGAAAAATCCTGCTGTCTCCTTAAAAACCGCCCAGGACTCCAGCGAGGGATTCTGCTCTCTTCACAGCAGCATTAGCACTTAGTCTGTGCCACCTGTGAAAAAAGTGATTTATTCCAGCTCACATAATTATTTTATTTTCTCACTGGGGAAACTCTTTTAGGCATAGCTAAATTGTAAACTATGGCAGAGAGCTATAGTTTTCCATAAATACCTTTGAAGAATGGACATGCTTGCCAAGTTAGTTAAAAGATATTATCACTACAGATGAGAAAAATGAGTATTCAAAGAAACCTAATGGGAAAAAATATGGACTTTTCATGAACCGTGCAGTAAATTTGAGGGCCCTGTTGTTAGTTTTTAAGGCCTCTGTTTCCATATACATCCTCTGTGAAGTCTTCTCTTCTCCTCAACATTGACATTAATTGCCCTTCCTCTCTCCCCCTGAAGTCATTGAGGGTCTACTACATATTAGGTAGCGGGGTAGATGCCAGGGATGGAGGGGTGGATAAGATGAATGTGATCCTTGCCCACATGGAGCTAATATTCTTATAGGGAAAAATACATTAAGCACATAATTACATAATGGATTACATAATGAATCGGTTACCATAGCGGCAAAGACTCAGCAGCATGCTAATGGAGGCCTGGGGAGCAGAAGTGCGACAGCAGGGTGTAACGACAAGTCTGACCTGGTTTGGTGTTAAGCCTTTTGTTTAGCACCTTTCATTTTACCCTGGTTAGTTGTTAGAGTTGGTTGTTTAGGTGACTATCTCTCCCATACATTTTAAACTTATTAAAGGTCAGTGTGCAGTGTTGTAAGTCTATGGAATTTCCACTAGTATCTAGAATAGTCTCTCGAATAAACATATGTTTTGAATTTAATTGAAGAACAATTATCATTCCTGGAGTTCCCTGTACTCGGGCAATCGACACACACTGGCTTTATGCAGTTGACGAGTGTACTTCTGTACGACTTCATCTGCTATTGTGCTATCATGTAACTCAAGGACTTTGATCATTCATTCATAATGCATGTATTGAGCTACCGCTCTATGCTGTGTTTGGCATTGTATAAACAAAGGCAAAATAGATAAATTGTATGGCCTCTTGAGGAAGTCGAAGTTTAAATGTATTGATAAAAATAAGCACATTATGGGGATGCCTGGGTAGGGCTTAGTCAGTTAAGGGTCTGACTCTTGATTTTGGCTCAGGTGATGATCTCGTGGTTTGTGAGATCGAGCCCCATGTTGGCCTCTGAGCTGACAGTACAAAGCCTACTCGGGATTCTCTCTCTCTCCCTCTGTCTCTGAACCCCCCAAATAAATAAACATTACAAAAATAAGCAGTTTATGAAAAAATGTGATAATTGCCATAGTGAAAGGATACATAAGGTATCAGGGAACAGAGACAAGAATACTTAGGTTTTCTGAGGAAATATTTTGTGGAAAATTTCAAAGAGAAGTGATGTCTGAGATGAATCTAGGAGGATACTGGGGAGTTGACAGGTCAACAAGTCACGGATAGGAAAGACAGTACAGGCTGACACGGAGAAGACACTTGGGGGACAGATGCGGATTAGAGGGAGAGGCAGGTGGGGTGAATCCTTGTGCCCATATAAAGAGTCTAGATGACATGTACATGACATATAAAGAGTCTAGACTTTACCATGTAGATGGCAGGGATTTTCGACAAGGCAGGGGTTTGGAACGAACATTCTAGTAGCAGTGGGCAGGTGGAGCTGGGGGGAAGGGGGTCATCGAGAAGACAACTGTGACTGTCCCTTAGGAGAGGAGCCAAGACAATGAGGTAAGAATGCAGGAAAAGGGAATTATCTGGGGCAAATTCAGGAAATTAATCAGACTGGAAGAGTGGACGAGTGGGGGCAAAAAAAGCATAAGGAATGCTGCCCCCCATTTCCCAGACCGGGGAAATAGGAGTAGCAGATATCATGGAAGGCTATGGGGTGGTTTAAGTATTCACTACCTTCAATTTCAGACCCTTTGAGTTCGAGGTGCCCTTGAGAGATAGGGGTCTCAGTAGCAGGACTCCGACGCGGAGTATACAGATTTGGAAGTTGTTGGCTGGTCGAGGTGCTACCCGAGTTTATGGGCCTTAGAAGGCGTTAGTTAGAGGAGTCATGGTGATCACACATCTGCCAGTTTTGAGTGCCTTCTACGTGTCAGACCCGTAACGCACCATCACCCACTGCTAGGATAATCTTCCACTTCCATTCCCCAGATGAAGGCACGGAGCCTCAAAAACATTAAGCAAGTTGTTTAAGGCACACAGCTTGGGAAGAAGGACAACTCATGAGCCCAGTTTTTTT